GTGACCTCACTTGGACTTTGCAGCAGCCTGTTGTGTTGCTCAGTGCCTGTTGTGTGGTGTCAGCTGCAGCTGTGGAGAGGAAATGAGATAACAAACTTCCTGTGCCAATGGGGAATTAATTTATTCTCTTGGAAGTTGTTTCTGTCTGAGGTTGCTTGTCCTGTCACTGCTGTACCTGGCATGCTTGCTGGAGCACTTGATGGCAGTCAGCAGCTGCAGCTCAGAAGGTTCTTGGGAGATTGGTCCTTCCCTTTCTCCCTCTCATGTGACCTTACAGATCCCTGGAGGTGGAGCTGCTTTGACACACTCTGGCTCACCCCTCGTTAGGGACTTGTCTGCACATCATGGCTGTCTGCAAGCCCACTTCCTTCCAGTGCATCCCATGAGTGGTGCTTCAGGTGCAAGATGAGACCAAACCCTTTGCTCACCCCTGTGTTTCTAGTGCAACTTGAACAGGGACTTGCAAAAATCCTCTGCTTCTAAAAAGCTGCTCACACTTCAGGTTGTGAAGAGAGTGTTTAAATGGAGTTTGGCCACTGACACATACGTGCATTGAGGTTGCTGAAGGGAGACAGCAGTGTTATGTTGTCAGGCTGTTTTTCCCAACCGCATTGGATTGATTTTTCTTGAAATGTCTGCTGTAAACATTCAGGCTGGTCTTTGACTTACAGTTATTCTGTAGGTACCAGCCTGCATTGCTTGAGTATCTGGTGCTGGTGCTTGTGAGAAAGACAGTGGTGGGGATCCTTCTTGTCAGATTAGCATTTTCTGGAAGGAATCCCAGGTTGATAAGCAGCTGTGCTTCAGATGGGCTTCTGAGCCAGGAGGAAACCTGATGTGTGTTTTGTCGAACACTGGAATGTGTAGGCCTGTCCTGGTAGAACCTGCATTACCTATGGTTCTGTCCCTGGGCTTAGACCTACAGTCTGGGCACGTGTTCCTCTTTCAGACTCACCCAAACGTGGACAAGAAGCTCTTTACTACAGAGTCACAGATCGGTTTGAAGAACCCAGAGAAGTCATTCCCTATTAACAGCGATGTGGGTGTGCTGAAGTGGAGGTTGCAGACCACAGAAGAGTCCTTCATTCCACTGACAAGTGAGTGCAAGTCTGGGGGCTTGGGCAGAAGAAACTGGTGATTGTCCGTGAGCTGCTGGTAGCCACCTTGCAGCAGCTGGGCTGCCTGGAGCCTGGCATGTTGTGAGACCTTGGAGATACTATGTGTATCTGTTGGATAGTGCCTGTCCTCTGTGTGTTTTCTGTAACACCTCAAGGAAAATAGAAAGCTTTTCTTAAAGTCAGCTTGAGGGTGACTTCACTGGGCATTTTGAAGTGCATCATCTTGTGAAAGCCTATTCCACATGAAAGGCCTGCATGGTTCACATACTGTCTCTGTTTCCTCAGTTAACTGCTGGCCATCAGAGAGTGGGAACAGTTGTGATGTTAACATTGAATATGAGTTGCAGGAGGAGAGCCTAGAGCTGAATGATGTGATCATCACCATCCCCCTGCCGTAAGTCATGCTCCTTGTCACGCAGCCCTAATGAGTCCCATCACCTCCTTCCCCTCCCTGTTTTGTGGATCTGGCCAAGCCAGTGGGTGTTAGAGGCATTTCCTTAGTTCTGTGCAGGGAAGTTATTGTCACTTCTCGTTGCCTGCTCTAGGTCTGGTGTTGGTGCCCCAGTGATTGGGGAGATTGATGGTGAGTATCGCCACGACAGCCGGAGAAACCTCCTTGAGTGGTGCCTGCCGGTGATAGATGCCAAAAACAAGAGCGGTAGCCTGGAGTTCAGCATAGCAGGGCAGCCAAACGACTTCTTCCCAGTGCAGGTCTCCTTCATCTCCAAAAAGAACTATTGCAACATACAGGTATGGTCGCTGCTTATGCCGCACAGGTGGGATGTCACCTTTGCCTCGGTCCCCGGCTGGCTGACACTGGCACCATGCTGTCCCACTGGCCATGGCTAAAGGGTTGGCATTAACCTGCCTCTGAGACAGCTGGATTTGGGCGTACCAGCAGACAGCACTGGCAGCTGACACTTCATAGAGTTTGCCTGAAGTTTCAGCTGTGTCTTCAAGTCTTTGAGTAGTCATTAATTCCCCTCAGACTTTGGTGGAAAATCCATCAGCCTTGTAGCCAAAACACTGCTTGGCATACAGCTGTCTGTCTCCTCTGAAGTGTAGCCAGTGGCTGCCACTTTGCTCCTCAGCAGAGACACAGTTACTACAGAAAATCACCCAGGGATCCTGGGAACAAAGATCTTTGTTTCAGGGCTGAGCTGTGGTTTAAGGGCAGCAGGTTGGTTGTGCTCTCATGGCCATCATGGTGTTTAGAAGCGTGGCATCGCTGCACTAAGGGAGTGATGTTCAATGCTGAGCTAATGTTGCCTGTTGTCTCCACAGGTTACCAAAGTGACCCAGGTAGACGGGAACAGCCCTGTAAGGTTTTCTACTGAAACCACCTTCCTGGTGGACAAGTACGAAATCCTGTAATGCCAGACTTGGTGACGCACAATGGAAGAAATTTTTAAATTAAAAAAAACGAGGCCGACGTTTATTCTGAATGTTGGGAACGCCACAGCCCCCTCTGCTAAGATGTGTGGCTCTGTCTGCCATCTACTGTGTTCCGGGGCCACAGACATTTTTTGCAGAGAAGTGACGTGCTCATGGGGGGAAAGGCCACAAATTTCTTTGGCAGATTTTTACCGACTGGCAAAAAAGCAAGATCTCCGCAAAGAGCCTGACTTGGACATGCTCCCCCCACCCCGAGATGTTCGGAGCACAGCCCAGAGCCGACCAGACATCATTCTCTCCTGAAGCATCACGTGCTGTTCCGTTGTTGGTGCTGCCATTTTAATTTCTCCTTGGCCTCTGGTTCTCGTGCGTGGGGCCACCTGCTGCTCCTGAGCCTTCCATCTGGTGGAAGCTGAGCAAGTTCACCTTGGCCTCCGAGGTGGGGGGGTCATGGCAGGGGCACGGGGTGGGAAGAGGGACCCAGGGGTTCAGTCCTTTTGCCCCACACAGTTACTGCTTTCCTCCAGGTCTGCTGTGTGGCAGTGGCTCAGCTCCAGGTGCTCTGGTTCCTGCTGCAGTGGGGAGAGTGTCCAAAGGGGGCTGTGTCCTCCCTGTCTTCCACAGCTGTTCTCAGGCCAGGCTTTGGAGGAAGTTTATTTAGGTTAGAACCAGCTGTATATCCTTTGCAAGGCCATTTGGTGTCTGGGGAGGCTGAGGGCTTTGCCTGCCTGGGTGAAAGGAGCTGTGGAGCCTGGTTGACTTACTTGGCCTGCGTGTCAGGACCTGTCTCAAACCAGTGTTGGTTCAGCACTGGCATTGTGGGAGAAGGAAATGCTGGTTTCCAGGTAATATGGGGGCTGATCCGAGCCATTTCTCCTACTGCTGCCTCACTAGCATTCTTTGCTTCATCTCAGAGACCTGTGCTCCCCTCACAACTCATCTCACCTGCATGGCTGGGGCCTGTAGTGTCACCTGCCCCTGGGCACACCTCACCTCTGCAGCCAGAGGACCCCAGTGCAGGTGGAAGGCAACGGCCCTAAAAGTGTGTGTACTGTGCTCTGTGAGAGACAGCCAGCCTGTCACGGGCCCCCGGGGTCCTCTGCCAAAGAAGTTTGTGGTCTCTCCTCTGCTGGCAGCACCTGAGAGGAAATCAACCCTGGTCCTGTCCTGAGAGGGCAAGCCCTCTCCCCTAGCAAAGTAGGCAATGAATCCCATTAACCCAGTCCTGTTCCAGAGCTGCTTGTCTGTATGATTTTTAAAATGGAGTCAAAGTTAGTTCAAGCATCCAAGGAGCTTTTTTTTTTCCCCTTACATTCATTGGAGGGTGATATTTAAACCGAGCCGAGGTCCCCACTTTTTGTAACCCTGTATGATCCTGGCCTAGGGAATAGAGCACATTCCAGTGTACACAGAGAATTCTGAGTCTTTAATCAAATAAAGTACTGTTAAAGGAGCTGGCTGGGGGTCGTGAGGTCCTTCCGGAGCCGGGACCGGTCAGCCCTGGCGGGGGCGGGCCGCGCCGGCCCCGTTGGGCGGGGACGCGGCGGGGCCGCCAGTGCTGGACGGTGGAGCGGCGGCGGAGCTCGGGAAGGGCTGTGCGGCGGGGGGAGCGAGGTGAGCAGCCGCTGGCAGGGGGTCGGACACCCCCCAGTTTGTGCCCCAGGCCACCGCTGCCCTTGGGGAGCCTGTGGGGCTGGGTCAGTGTCCTGTAACGCCAGGAGTCCCCGGTGCTGTGGGACGTGGTGGGGGCAAGAGAAAGCTCGGCTGCCTTGGCCTGTGTTGGGGCTGGCTGTGGGACATGTTGGGGCTCCCTGCTCCCTGGGGTGCCTTGGGAGGGGTGCAGGAAGGAGCTGCAGACAGGGAAGTAGGAAAAACACGGTCAGCCATAAAACCAATCATTGCACAATGTTTTGGTGGTGTGTGGGTGGGCTGGGAGCTGGTTCCGGATCCAGTGGTCCACGTCAGTGGTGGGTTTGCTGGTGTGGGAGCCCTGAGAGCAGCTCGGTGTTGGAAGGTTCTCCCGTCCCCAAATCCTGCTGCAGCTCATGGGCAGTCACAGGAGGAGATGGTGCTTGGCCCATGGCCACCACTGCTGTCTCTGACACCTCTTGGGGAGCCTGGGAACAGTACTGGTCTGGCTGGATCCTTCCTGCTCTGTGGCTGGATCTTGTTTACTCCAGCTTCCTGCCACACTCCTGCCACAGCCCCTTCAGCTGCTGTCAGAAAGCCAGAGGAATCTGCTGTCCCAGAAGGTCCAGCTGCTGTGCTGAAGGGCCAGTGTCCCACTCCTCCAGCTCCCTGCAAGCCCCCAGCCCTCTCCGAGCACTAGGCAGAGGCTGCAGGGGGCAGATCCCCTGGCTGAGCACCGCGGGCACTAGCAAGGCAACACGGCTGGCTACTTTTTGATAACTCCCGGTACATTTGAGTTTGCTGTGTGGTGCCCTATGTTGGTACATGTGGGAGGATGGATTGTAGGAGAATAAAGATAGTGCTGAAGGCAATCTCACCCCTGAGGAGTTGCAACTGTACTAATTACCAAAGAGTAGGAACGGCCCTGCCCTTAATAGGGCACAACTGTGTCCAGTAAGGATGGGTGTTATAAAAGAGTGGGTTAGCTGGGTGAGAGCTGGAGTTTGTTGGCTGTGCTGAGAGGAGGAAGGGTCAGGTGGTCGTGCAGAAGAAGTGTGGGGCAGCAGGGGCAGGGCACCATGCAGGGGGATGGAACCACAGTATTGCATGGCAAGGGATCCTTGCTGGCAGCCAGAAAGAGGAGAGTGATCAATGCCTGATTTGGAAAGGTGAGGTTCACCCCACCCCTTTACCAGCTAACAAAGGGCTGGGTGATGGGTTCGTGCCAGGGGTTGGGTTCAAGACCCATCAAGCCCATCCTATGTCATGGTCCCCAAGATGTTGTCAGTGTGGGTTGCAGATGCTCCTTCTGGCCTGCAGGAGAGAAATTGTCATTTTGGTATGAGAGCATTTTGAGGAGCAGCTCTCCATTGTGCAGTCTTATGAGGGAGCTTGTGTCTGTGCTGTGATGTCTGGAGGCAGTGCTGATGCTGGGGTCAGTGCTCGAGCTGCAGCGGTGGTCGGGTCTGTGTGCCTCAGCGGCCCTCGGGGGGTGCTGGCTGCCGGAGGCAGGGCTGCACGCCCTCCCCGACCCGAGCACAGGGTGAGCATCCACCACTCTGTGGAGACCCCGGAGCGCGGGCCTCGGCCGGAGCACAGCTGTGCTGCAGTGGTGCAGGAGCCCTTCTCCGGAGCGATGAAATCAGCGGGTGTGGCCAGGATTCCTCAGCTCCCGCCGGAGCTGTCTGGTGGCTGATTTATGGTGGTGTTATTGCCAGGATCATGGCGTTGTCCCAGCAACCGCAACGCAGCCCCCACCGTCCCTCGCCTGGGTGGGATGGGGCTGCCTGGGTCTCCCCGACTCAGTTGTCAGCCCCAGACCGGGAGGCAGAGGCCAGGAACAGCTCCTCACTCGCCTCTGCTTTTGTGCAGGAGACAGGCTCCCCCTTGCCAGCGGCCGGCGGAAGGGCCGGTTGTTTACTAGGGCAGAGGGTGTGGGAAGGGGTGAGCACCCGAAGCGCATTAGCAGATGGGGAGCAAGCAGGCAGCCAAGTTGGCTGGAGGCTGCGATGCTCCGCCGTGTGCACCCCTTAGCTCGGCCGCTCGGGCTTCCTTGTGACTCATCCAGCCAGCCACAAGTGGGGGTGAGAGGCCGTGCGAGGGGGTGCCATGCGCCTGGCTCTGCCATGCTTCATCCCAGCATGGCTGATACTGCATGGCATGGCCTGCCAGTCCGTGCTCCTTCATGAGCACGGGCTGCATGCCCCTGCCCGTGTCCTGCCCGGTGGCACACAGTGCAGCTCTGGGGTCTGCTGGTACCTCATGTGGGGTGAGTCAGGATGCGCTGTGCCCAGCTTGGGTCTGGGTGGGCAACAGCAGGTCAGACAGGAGTGGACCCCCAGAGCCCCCCTGCCCACGTGGGCTTGGGGCAGGCAGGCACTGCAGCCTGTGGGCAGTGGGATGCAGGGGCTCCCCGGAGCACCCTGGGGCAGCATGTCTGTGTGCAGCCGGCTCTGCATCCGTGAGGCTGGGCGTCCTCCCAGGTGAGGCTTTTGGCCGTGCCAGGTGAAGAAAGGGGCTTTTGTCTTCCAGGAGGCCGGGGCTGAGTAGGCAGCCCTGCGTGGGGTGCTCGAGGACCGTGGGCTGTTCGGTGGTAACCGAGCCCGACCCCTTGGCATTTGCTGCCTCCACCGCTTCCCACGGAGGGAACAAGCGGCGCGTTCTGCAGGCGGCGGCGGGAGAAGAAAGGCCGCCTTGTCCGGCCGAGCAGTGGGGCGCCGGCTGGGGCGGCCGCGCTCCCGCCCCGCATTCCTGCAGCAGAGCCGGCTGGAGAGGGGCTGCATCCCCGGCAGGACGGGCTGGGGTGACGCAGGCGTTCCCTGTGTGCTGCCGGGACAGGTGAGGGGCTCTGTTGGAGGGCAGTGTTGTGGGACTGGGGGCGTTGGGAAGCGATGGGATGCCAGGGTCATCCTCCAGCTCATGGGCAGGGGGGCTGCTTGTGGAGTGGGGGTGTTGGTGGAGAGTTTGGGCAGCAGGCAGCAGAATCGGAGACGATCCCCCAGGTGGACGGGATGGGGGTCCTCCATGGTTCTCACCAGTACAACCATGCTGGGAAGGAGTTAACACCGGCACAAGATCCCACCCTGGCCCCGCTCCCTTCCTCTGCAGCAGCCTGGCCCCTCCTGGCTTTTCCTCCTTCCTGAGCATTGTGACGGGACGTAGGTGTAAGTGCGGGGCAGGGGCTCGGCTGGGCCGCGGGGTCTCCAGATGCTGGGCAGTGCGGCACCCCAGTGCCTGGGGAACATGGGCACCCTGCCGCGGAGGGTCCCGCTCGGCACCCGGACCAGGTGGCAGGTAAGGAGGGAGAGCAGGGATCCTGCCTCGGCAGCCGGCGAGCACCCGTGAACTGCTCTCGGGGTACTTTATCTCTACGCCCCCCCTTGCCCCAGCTGAGCTGTCCCCCTCCCACGAGGTGTGGCTGTGGTCCCCACGGAGCCCTTGCTGTGGGGCGGCCAGTCCCGCTGTCGCAGGAGACGCCCGGGTTTCATCCAGGTCCTGGATCCCACGCCTGGTGTTTTCCAGCGTTTCATTTTTTCCACAGTGTGTAATAGCGGTTCACTCGCCCCCGCAGCTGAGCCCAGTGCTGGACGAGCGGGGGGGTCCCTCCAGGGGCTGGCTGATGCTGGCGAGAGCCGAGCCCGGGGCTCCTCCTGGCGGCCCCGGGACCGGAGCCTCCTAACGGGGACGGAGCGCTTCCTATGCACGCTGCCCGGGAAGGGTTAAGCCTCAGTCAACTAGTCCAGGGCGGAAGGGAGGGACGTGGGGAGCAGCAGACGGTAAATTTAGATCCTTGGAGCATCCCGACATGGCGTGAGTGCCGGGTGACGGAAATTGTTCCTCCTCGAGTTGCCTCCCACTCACGCAGAGAATGTGAGGCAGCATGGCCGTTCCATGGGTGGTGGCCCTGCCTGCTGGCCACAGGCCATGGCCACATGGGCAGGGGTATGAAACACTCAGCTGGGCATGTGCACTGTGAGCTGCTGCTGGACTGTGTGGGAGCAGAGGCATGTGCCTGGGTGCCAGAGCTGGGCACTGGTGGCATGGACAGGGGTGCCCAGGTGTTGCTGGGGTCAGCCAAAACCTGTGCTTGTGTCTGCTTTTCCAATGACAGCCATTGGGGTCTGGCTGCCCACAGCTCTTGGCGTTTAAAGCATGCATTTCCAACACCATGCCCCCAGAACTGAGTGCGTGTGTAGTTTTCCTTCCCGGACTATCTTGTCCTGACGCCTGGCACATGCATGGGTCTCCTCTGGTGGATGGGGATGTGTGCCTGGGTAGGATGCATGCCTTGGCAGGCAGGGATGCTCACGGGCTTCAGGCAGCTGCTGACATGATGAAGACAGGAGCTCAGGACGGTAATCCTGTTGGTGGCAAATGCTGGTTTGGAATGGGTAGGGTTTGTGCTCAGGCTGCTGCCTGGGATGTGCAGGAAAAACACATCAAGGCCATGCCCAGCGTGGTCACTCGTGCTGCCATTCTGTTTCTCTGGCAGCCCGTGTCCGGTACCATCCGACGTCTCCAAGCAGGCACCATGGAGGCATCTGGCAGGACCCCTACCAGCCCAACCCACAGAGTCCAGACTGTCATGCAGGTGAGCACACAGGATCACAGGACCTGTGCTCTGTGGAACAGGGCGATCTGGCTGGAGTCCACCTCTGCAGCCAGCCCTGCCACCGGCCTCAGCCAATCCTATTACGGGATCCCCAGCAAAGCCCATTCAGCTAAGCGGCTGCAGCTGGGATCCTCTTAGATGCAGCCCAAGCCCCATGGATCTCCAGCTCCCGTGGCAGCTCGCCTCAGCTTCCCGGGATAGGTAGCACAGGCAGGAGAGCCCTCCCCTCCTACGTCTTGCTGCTGGACAGTCCTGCTGGCATGTGGCTGTGCCTGGGCATTGATCCTGCTGTTTTGGAGCAGCTCAGCCAGGTGGGCAGTGCAGGGGACTGGGCTGCAGCTGCAGGAGCTGTGAGCATCCCTCCCTCTCCTCCTACAGAACAGCCCCCTGGACCTGATCGACACAGGCAAGGGGTTGAAAGTGCAGACCGAGAAGCCACATTTGGTGAGCCTGGGCAGCGGGCGGCTCAGCACTGCCATCACACTCCTGCCCCTGGAGGAAGGTGAGTGCCGGGGGTCTCCATGGGCGCGCTGGTGACAGAGACACTGAGACGCCCTCTCTGCTGGCAGGGAGGACCACCATTGGCACGGCTGCGACAGACATCGTCCTGCAGGGCCCCGGGCTGGCGCCCCAGCACTGCTACATCGAGAACGTGCGAGGGACACTCACTCTGCACCCCTGTGGCAACGCCTGTGCCATCGACGGCGTGCCGCTCCAGCGGCCCACGCACCTCAGCCAAGGTAGGAGCAGGCCGTGGTTCACCAGAACCCTTGCCTGTGGAGTTGTGCCGTTGAGTATTGGGGTGTTTGAGGAGCCATCCAGTAACTGCATATCCCAGCCAGCGTACTCCTGGGCTCCATGCTGTGCGGTGGGAACCTGCCAGGTCCTGGCACGGTTTGAGAGCTGCCTTTGCTGCGTGTATCAAGTGCGGTGGGAAGGGAGAGACCCGGGCGGGCTTTGAGGAACAGCAGAGATGCTGAGCCAGCTTTGGGAAGGGAGATGACAGAGGAAAACACCCCAGTGTCCTCCCGACGGGTGGCTGCCGGGACACCGCTGCTCTGCCTGCGTGGCTGCGGGGCTCGGACCCGGCCGCCCCCCCGGGCCGCTCCCAGGGAGCGCGGACAAAGCCTCAGGCCCGTCCCCGCGATCCCCGCCCTCCACAGCTCCCGTCTCGCCTCCCGGGGAGGACCCTCGGGCGGGGCGGGCGAGGCCCGGCCCCCCGTCCCTCCCCGGGGGCGGGCGGCGCTGCCCGGGCGGCGGCGGCGGCGGCGGGGCGAGGTGAGTGCGGTGCCGCGGCCACGCGTGTCCGCGCCGGGCGGGGCTCGCTCCCGCTGCTCCGCGGGGCACGGAGCCGTCGTGCCCCCGCAGGCGCTGTCGCCGCGGTCCCCCCGCGCCTGCCCCGGTCGCTCCCGGGAAGGGGGGACCCACCCGCGTGGGCGCTGCCGCGGGCGCCCCCCGGGGACAATGGGAGCCACGTGGCCGCCGGAGGAGGCTCCGGCCGCGGGGCGCTGCCGGGTCTCGCCGGTGCCGCAGCAGGCAGCGAGGGCCACGGTAGGCTGCGGGGTGCGGGCAGGGGTCAGCCGAGCTGCCCATCCTGCTGTCCCCGGGGGCAGGCAGGGACGTGGCGGAGCAGGGACAGCATCTGTGCAGGCCACAGCGGAGTGAGCTGCGGGGCTGTCAGGCCGATGCTCGTGGTGCAGGTTGGTGGTTACTCGCTTTGCCGGGGCGACCTGTGGCTCCACTGGTGCCGGCACGTGGGGAAGGAAGGCACAGGGCAGTGCTGCATCTCTCCGGCACAGCCGCTGCCAGGCTGGGCGTCGGCACTGCTCCCTGGCAGGCAGGATGCCCTCGTTCAGCCGGGGTGAGCAGGACTCCGTCCCGCCCTGTTGCTTAGACAGGAGAAACAGGCCCCTGCGACGGCGATAGCTGTTAGTCTGTAGTGCCTCTCGCTCTCCTTGCTGCGAGCTGGGCTGACGGGTGCTCCATAAAACATGTCCCCTCCGGCGAGGGATTTTCAGCAGCGGCTGTTGGTATGGAGCGAGCCTCTCCCCAGAGCCCTGGCAGGCGCTTCAAAGTGGGGTGTGTCGGCAGCAAGCCGCCTTCTAGCCGCCTGATGCTCCCCGCTGCCAGCACATGCCTCCCCAGCGCCACGGGCAGCAGGTGAGCGCCCACGGCTGCGCTCCCCTTCCCTTCCTGAGCTGCCTTCCTCCTCGGGCTGCTCGGCAGCCTTGCCCCAAGAGGGCTGCTGCTTTGGGCCCAGAAGAGACGCTTTGCAAGCAGGGACAGGAGCTGTCTTGTCTGCAGCTGGCAGCCACGCAAGCCCTGGAGTGCCGCCAGCTCCCCCGCGGCCCCCGGCGGGGACCCCAGCTGTGCCTGCGCCTGGGATGCGCTGCCGGCAGCTGCTGCAGAGTGACCTGGATTTCAGCCTCCCCCTAAGCCTCTGCTGACAGCAGGAGCCCGCTCCCTTCCCGAGGGCGCATCTTCGGGCGAGCAGTGCCCGACTGCCTCCCTGCACTCTCCGGAGCTACTCCGATATTGTCGGCTGGCATCTGAACCCTCTCTCCTCTCTCCCAAGGGTGCACCATCTGCCTGGGCCAGGCCACCTTCCTCCGCTTCAACCACCCTGCTGAGGCCAAGTGGATTAAGAGCATGATCCCAGCGGGGGGCAGAAGCCCATCGGCTCTCTACGGGCTGCCAGCAAGTAGGTGACCCTCCCTTGTCCCAGGCAGGGCAGGGCAGATGCTGAAGCGCTCCCTGACCCATCAGCCCAGTGCTCTCCCAGCCCTGTCCTGTTGCACTCAGGCTCACACCCGGCTGTGGTGTGCCATCCGTCAGCTCAGCCCGCTGTGGCAGCTGCACTGGTATTTGTTAATGATTAATATCACCTCCAAGAGGTTGACTGTGGGGGCACTGAGGCATGGCTTTCACTTCTGCCCAGCCTGGCCATGGCAGAGCCATCGCCCGTCGGAGCCCCCCCGCTGCTTGGAGGCAGTGTTTGTGTGCTGGAGTGGCTGTGCTGGGGCTGTGAAGGCCATTCTGGCTGCTGCCCTTCATCTCATGAGCTTATCTTGCTGTGTCTGCCTGTCCGTGGGGCAGTGGGCCAGGTGCCAGTACCGTGTCTGGCTCCCAGGGATGTCCAAATCTCCAGCACTGATCCCTGGGCTGGTAGCCCTTATCCCTGCCCCAACCAGCACACCCTGGCACAGGGAGAGGAGCTTGGCTGCCTTCCCGTGCCACGTGTGTGTTGGGAAGGCAGCATGCCTGCAGCTGGGGGACGGGAGGAGGGACACGGGGAGGTGCTGTGGCTGAGGAGCATCATGCAGCCATGCAGCATCCCTGTGGGCCCTGCATGCTCACTCTGCCACGCAGGACTGGGTGGGATCACACTGACAGGGCTGTGGCACATCTTTCCAGGCCCGAAGGCAGTGCCAGCTGCCGTGGGGGAGCTGCTGGGTGCCAGGGGGTGACGCAGCCCGGGTGGCACGCTGTCCTGGCTGGGCTCCGTGCCTGCTGCCATTCGCTGTTCCCTGAGTGACAGGCACATCGGTGCTGCGCAGGGAGCACGGGGCGGCCCAGGCAGGGGCACCCTGGCCGGGGTGTGGAGAGGCTGAGGGCGACGTGGTGGTGGGTCTGGACGTGCTGCAGGTCAGCAGCCTTTGGCTATTGCACCTCTGACCCCTTGCTGGGAAGCCAGAGTGTGCAGGGGTGGTGGGTGCCAGTGGGGGGTGAGGGCAGCTGCTCTCCAGAGAGTGGAGCAGGGAGCTGCGACGCAGGGAGGGCAGCTGTCCTCTCAGGTTTCTGTCTCCTGGGTGATGGGGCTAGCGGGATTCCAGCCTGCTCCCTGCCCCACTCCCCAGCTGGAGTGGAAAGGGTGGCAGCGGGGTGCAGCAGAGAGGGGCTGCGACCCAGCTCTGACTCTGCAAGGCTGCATGTAAGGATGATGCCAGGCTGCCCCGTTGGACCCGGCCCAGGCAGGGGCTGCGGCGGAGTCACACCACACTGATGCCTTCTCCTTTGTTTCCCTGCAGAATCTGAGGCCCTGGTGAATGGTGGCCACCAGCTGTCAGAGCGTGGGTGTCACAGCCACAGCTCCCTTGTCAGCTCCATCGAGAAGGACCTGCAGGACATCATGGACTCGCTGGTGCTGGAGGAGTCTGCAGCCCCTGGCATCCAGAAGCCGCCTGCCTGCGGCCGATCCCCCCTCTCCCCCGTGGTGAATGGGGGTGGGCGCTGCCTCCTGTCCCCCCCGCCCAGCCCTGGGGCCGCTTCGGGGGGCTCCAGCTATGAGAATTTTTCTCCCCTGTCCTCCCCAGCCAGCAGCAGTAGCTACACCAGCCCCTCACTCAGCAGCCAAGAGCAAGGCCCAGCCGTGCCGCCCCCTCTCCCGCTCCGCTCCTCCAGCTACAACCACACTGTCCAGCCGCCGGCCCTGCCTGCTGGGCCTTCTAGTGAGCCTTGGCCGGCTGAGAGGCTTGGGGACCAGCGGGTGGGCAGCCCCCGGCTGACGCCCAGGGCGGCGCCGCGGCCACGCGTGGCCCTGCAGGAGCGGCCCCCCAGTCCCTTCCGGGAGCCGCGGGACTCTGTGGCCCCCAGCCGGCAGCCCACCGGCAGGGTGGTCCCAGAGGCCCGGCTGCAGCCCCCCGAGAGCCCACGGGTGGCCCGGAGGAACATGGAGAGCATGCGGGAGCTGCCTCCCCTGAGTCCCTCCTTGTCACGCCGGGCTGCCAGCCCCCGGCTGGCCCCTGACACCCCCTCCCCACAGCCCCGGCTGGGCAGGGAAGTGCCTGGCAGTCCCCGTGCCAGGCGCAAGGGCCTGGAGGAGTCGAAAGGTGCTGGGGGTCCTTCACCCCCGCTGCTGTCAGAGAACCCCACGCGCCGGCCCAGTTTCGGTACCTGCCTGAGCCCAACGTACGGGCTGGGCTCCCCAGCTGTGCCCTCGCCCCGGCAGAGCCCCCGCGCCCCCAGGAAGCCTTTGGGGGACCCACGGCTGCCAGCGGGGTCACGGGAGCGCAAGAACAGCATCACTGAGATCAGCGACAACGAGGACGAGCTGCTGGAGTACCATCGGCGGCAGCGGCAGGAGCGGGTCCGGGAGCAGGAGATGGAGCGCCTGGTGAGCCTTGGGGCTGGGAGGGGACACGTTTGAGTGTGGGACACCCTCTTTGCAAATAGCTGTTGGTGTTTGCTGCTTTGAAACCTGGCCTTTGCCTCTTGGGGATTTGCCACAGCTGCCAGGCTGCTGGCTTACCCGGGGGATTATGGCCAGGAGCAGCCATCGGTGCTCAGCAGCTCTCTGGAAATACAAAGCCCCCAAATTACAGCAGCCTGTGGAAGCTGGTGGGGCTGGCATGGCCCCATGGCTACTGGCCAAAATGGTGGCACCCCTGCCTTTGCAAAACTCTCCACATCTTGTCCGTCCCTGCCCGGGCCCATCTGCTGGTGGTGGTGCCGTGGCTCTGTGGACATTGCATCTATATTTAGGGCTGGTGGAGTTTTTATGGAACTGGCATCTGCCTGGATGAGGCTTGCCGAGTCTCCGCCAGTCCTGCGGGCCGAGCCGCCGGGCCGTGTTTGCTCAGCCTGACTCACGCCTGGCGCGGGCAGCCTGAGTCACCGCCTGGAAATAGCGGCGGCGCTCGCCTGCAATCAGCCCAGCTCCGGCTCCCAGCACATCGCGTGCCTGGCTCGGCTGTGGGGTCAAGCCGGCTGCGTTGTGTTTGTAATGCTGCCTGCCCATCCCAGCGTGCGCGCCCGCATTCTGGTGGGCACCGTTGGCACAGGGTTGTGCCTGCTCCTGCCGCAGCGCGTGCTGGATGGGGACTGCTCTTCCTTACAGGAGCGGCAGCGCCTGGAGACCATCCTGAACCTCTGTGCTGAGTACACCAAGACAGACGGCGCTGAGCCTGCTGATGTGCACAGGCTCCTGGCTGGTGACACAGATGCTGGCCAGTGGGTGCCCAGGGGTGCCACGGCTCTGGGCCATGCTGCTGAAGAGCTGCAGCAGAGGGAGAGCTTGGAGAGGTCGGATGAGGAGAACCTGAAGGAGGAGTGCAGCAGCACTGAGAGTACCCACCATGAGGTAAGGGGACATTGGTGCCATTCTGTTACCGTGCCGTGCTGTACTGTGCCATGCCAATCAGCCCTTTCCACAGCACGAGAAGCTGACAGGCCCCCGGGCCAAGGAGGCACAGCGGCTGGAGGAGGAGCGTGCCGGTGTCCTGGGACGCCTGGACCAGCTGAAGGGTCGTGTCAAGGAGCTGGAGCAGCAGCTGCAGGAGACATCGCGAGAGGTGAGAGGTCAGGGGACACTGCTGGGTCCCCTGCTGCTTGCTGCCCTTACCAGTTAGCACTAAATCCTAAGGGTAAGAGCTAGATGCAGCTGGAGCAGCAATCCTGACAGGCTTTGGCTGTCCAGGCAGAGATGGAGCGGGCGCTGCTGCAGGGTGAGCGGGAGTCGGAGGTGCTGCGGCTGCGGCAGGAGCAGGAGGCAGCGCAGCAGCTGCAGGAGAAGCTCTCCAGCCTGGACGCCAGCATCCGCAAGGAGCGGGACAAGGTGAGCCCAGTCACAGGTTCCCATCGTCACCAGCTGTGCCATACCCTCCGTGGCACTCACAGCCAGTGCTGCAATGCCTCATGCTGCAGCATTCCCCTGTGGACATGTTCTCCAGACCCTGGGCTCCCCAGAGGCTTTGGGGAGCAGCCGCTGTGGTTTGCATTTTGGGGGGATCTGTCTGTCTGTCTGGGCTTGGTCAAACAGCCCTGCTGGAGGAGAGCACAGCCAATGCTCAGGGAGCATTTCAGCTGCTGCCTGTTGCTCTGGTGGGGAGACTGAGGTGTGAGGCTTTCCAGATGGCTGCTGCCTGCGCGGGCAGTGCCGAAGCAGAGGCCTCGGCTCTCTCTGTTACCTGTCCTCGCTAGGGAACTGCGTCTTGCAGCAAGTCACCTCCTCTGCTGCGCCTTTGTGTGTGATGGCAGCTGTTGCTGTGGTGTTCGGCTTGCTGGAGGTGGCTGGGAAACCACTGCAGGTGTTCGGCGTGGTGGCTTTGGGAGGGGTCCTGGCCCCCATCCCCGATGTCGCCTGTGGTGCAGTGACTGCCTGAAGGCACCCACGAGCTGTGTGTGTGGCATGTTTGTGCCAGCTGCTGGTTGCTGGCTATCCCACAGCCTTGCAGGCAGTGTGGCATGGCCTTGTCGAAGGGAGAGCTGCTGGGATCTGGTTCTCTGCTGCCTGAGGCCATTGTCCCTGTGCAGCCTATGCCAAGGTCCCACCAGCAGCTCTGTGCCACTGTCATGTGCCATCAATGTCCCTTGGGGTCTGGCCAGCCCCAAGGCTGTTGGGGTGCCTGTGGCCTGGCAGAGTGGCCATTGGTGCCTCCCAGTGGTGCTCCTACAGCATTTGGGGTTTTTGTTCTGGTTTTGGTCTTCCAGCCCTTTGTAGGTATCTTCTGTAGCCAGGGACAGCCTCATGCGGAGCCAGGAGAGGAGCGCAGGGAAAGCCCTCTCCCAGCCTCTCTGCTGACCTAACCACCCACTTTTCTAACCCATCTGCACTACTCACACTAACAGTGCCTGCTCTGAACTCTGCCACCACCTCTGACATTTCTGCATGTCCAGGAGCCCCCAGGCAATCCACAGCTCCTCTCTTGGGGCATCTGCCTGTACCAGCCTTACCTCCCTGGCAGCATGTCCCCTCATAGCCCTTGTCATGATGTCCCATCTCTGTGTGGAGCACAGGGTTCCTTGCAGCAAGCATTTCTCAATGCCAAGCCTCTGTAGGGTACCACCAAACCTGTGGGTGGTTCCCCTCTGCCAGTCCCATGTTCCTGGCCCCATTTTACTGCTCCTGTGGCCAGGCCCCTCATCCCAGGTCCAGGAGTCAGTGTCTGCTCTGCTGCTGACTCATCATAGCCTGAGCATCTCTTGCTGGACCACAGCCTCCTGTTTTCGCTGCTGCCCTCTCCTTCTGATGGCTGAGGGTGGTCCATGACCCCAGGCTGCATTCAGGACCTGCAGTTCCCAACTGGTAGCAGTTAACAAAGCCCATTAGTGGTTATTGTGATGCAGCCTGTGCAGGATTGGGATGACTTGAACCATACTATCAGTTGATCTTTTTGCTGCCTGCAAGTTTGTTCTTGGAAGCACAAAGCTGAGGTCAGGGGCTGGCTTTAACTCCTCTAACACTGCTTGGCCAGCTCCCGTGTCTCTTGATCTCTCGATCCCCCTGTACATGGCATGTAGCTGCCATGATGCTCCTTCTCCTGAGCCCCCTGTGTCTCCAGCTGAGCCCCTCTCTAACTCACAGCTTCTGCATGGCGCCCATTTGAGAAGTGTGTCTTCTTTTTTTTTTTTCCCTTTTTCTTTTCTTTTTGTTTTGTCTTGTTCTCCCCTGATTCAGGAAAGGGCAAAGGTTGATGCTGAAAGGAAGGAGCTAGAGCAACTCCAGGCGCTTTACCATGAGTCGAAGAGCCACCTTGATAAGTGCCCCGAGTCAATGCGGGAGCAATTGCAGGAGCAGATGCGAAGGGTCAGTGTCTCCCCCACCCCTCCCGGACCATGGCCCACCTCCCTCCGCTCCAGCTTAGGCCAGCTCTTCCCTGCCAGCCGGGGCTGCACTGGGAGCGTCGCACCCGGGCTGGAGGCGGCTGGCACCGGGCACCATCGTCCTGGTAAGCTTGCCGCTCGCCCGGGCCCGGCTCGGCAGAGCTCCTCGGGACCCGCACAGCTCCTCGGGACCGGCAGGGCACCAGCATGGACCCTGCCGAGGAGGGCAGGCTGGGGAGTCTTGGGGGCTGCTGCATCCTCATCTGGCTGCCTCCAGCTGTTTCCTGAGAATGTTTCTTTACACAGTGACGTTGATCCATGTTACTGCTAGTCCTCAGCATTTTTCCTATTACCTGGTATTTTCTGGAAGTGGTTGACTTTTCCCCAGCCCATGGCTAGTGCCTGCTCAGATAAACCCACATTGCCACAGCCTGCTCCAGCCAGGCACTCACATTCTGGATGAGGGTCTGGTGTAGAGTGGGCAGGGGGGTGATGGAGCAGTGTCTGCGTGTGGGAGCCCTCAGAGGCACCACATCAGTGCTGTGCCCGTCTCACAGAGCAGGGTGAAACACATCCCCGTGGGCTGCATGGCACAGTGGCTGCCAGGGTGGCACTGGCAGGCCCAGAGCTGAGTGCTGCCACGTGCTGTCGGTGCATGAAGGCTGGAATGACACACAGGAGTTTGTCCAGCATGGTGCTTGTCTGTTGGGGCTTTGCCACCTGCAGGCTTGGTGACACAGTGTGGCTGTTGGTGGTTACGCTGGCACATGGTGTTTTGTGACCTGTCAGGGCACGGCTTTAGCCCATACGTGGTTCAGCAGGGACAGCTGGTCTCCGAGGGCTGGTGAAGCCCCTGGCTGTGACAAGCTCATCTCATGGGGTGACTGCTCTGTGCTGGCCAGTTCTGGGTGCCTCCATTGCCTTCTTCTGACGGCAGACACTCCTGTCAGTATCTCTTGTGTTTCTGATGCCCAGCAGAAGGCAAAACTGCCTGCCTGCCCACACTGGGCACAGAGGACAGGCTTGGCCACCAGCTCTTGTTCCTGGCCAGCACCAGGAGGATGTGGAGGCACGCAGGAGGTTTTGCTGTGGGTGACCTGCCTGCAGGACGCGGAGGTGCCCATCCAGTGGGTCAGATCCACTCACAGTGCTCCTGTGTGTTCAAAGGAGGCAGAGGCACTGGAGACGGAGGCCAAGCTGTTTGAGGACCTGGAGTTCCAGCAGCTGGAGCGAGAGAGCCACCTGGAAGAGGAGCGTGAGGCGCGAGGCCAGCAGCTCCTGCAGAGCCGGGCTGAGTGCCACCGGAGCATCGCCCGCAGGAAGGTGGGGATGGCCAGCAGGACTCCACGTGGCTGGGCTGTGCCGGGGGTCGGGCATGGCCAGGCTGCGTGCCATGGCTCACCAGCACCAGCTCATCTCTGCTGCCTGCTCCCCAGGAGCGGGTGGCTGCCCTGGACGCCCAGGCTGCCCAGATCCGGCTGCAGAGTGCCCAGGAGGCCGAGCGCCTGGCCAGGGAGCGCAGCAGCGTCCTGCAGCTCCTGCAGAAGGTAATGCTGTGACTGTGGGCCCCTGAGGCAGGGGACAAGGGCCTGCCAGCTCTTGACAGGTTGCTGGCAGGCAGGGAGAGCTTGGGGGGTGACTGGCCAGCTGCCTCTGACCTGTCACTCCATGCGCAGGAGAAGGAGAAGCTCGTGTCTCTGGAGAGGCGATACCAGCTTGTCACAGGTGGCAGGAGCTTCCCAAAAATGTCCTCAGCTCTCCGGGAGGTAAGTGGGTAGAGGAGGCTGTGGTGCTTAGAGCTGCTCTCCTAAGCTGCAGCCATCAGTGAGGATGAGCCTTGTGCACCAGCAGCTTTGCTCTGCAGCAGTTCCTGTGTTCCCAAGTACCTTCTGACCAGAGCCAGGTGCTTCCAGCTGCTCAGTCTCTCCACGGGCTGCAGAGGTTGGGAGGGAGGAAGGGGAAATGCAACAGAGCAGCACATGGGACAGGATTGCCTAGGGTCCCATCGTTGCTGCAGAGCACGCATGGGGATGTCTTGGTGCTGGTCCAGGGGACTTTTAGGTGGAAGTGAATTGTCCCATTACCTTGCTTATGGCTCTGAATGGGGAGCCAGAACCACGATGCCCTCAGGGGCTGTGGTACTGCCTTACCTGCTGCTGGTAGAGGCACAAGATGGCAGAGTCCCCTCATGCCTGCCTGCAGTGGGACTCCTGCTGCTGCCACCTTGCTATCTGTGCCCACCTTGCCTACGCAACCTTTACCCTTCAACAGGAGACCCTCCACATCTCTGAACCTTATGAGCTGTTGGAGGGAACTAAGCCCCTGAGCCCCCTGCCAGCAGCAGCTGCCTCCTTAGCTTCTCCTGCCACCTACTCCTACCCCAAGGCACAAGAGGTAACTAACTAGAGGGATTAGCTGCATGTGCTTGCTCACTTACCCCCCCTGGCAGACACCCCTTTTGTGGACTGATGTCACCCCCAGGCAGCAGGGCAGCCCCACAGCAGCATGGCTGGAGCATTTATCATACAGGTCTCTGGCAGCCGTGCTCATTAACACTCAGTCCCTGATTCCAGGCGCTCTCCTGAGCCCGCTGGGCAGCCCAGTTCCTGCTGCTGCCCCCTGTTTTAACCCTGGTGCAGTGGTTTCCCCCTTGCTCATAGCTTGCCATCTGGCTGGGCACCTCCTGACAGCATCCTGTAGGGTCCTGCTAGCATGGCTTTTCCAAAATAAGAGCAAGTCCCCAGCTTTAGCACATTTGGTTCATAAAGGATGAGGAAGTGGATTTTAAGTTGGGTCAGCACAGCTCGAGGTGCCTCATCCAGTGCTGCTGCACTAGGGAGGACTTGTGGCCAGTGTCTGTGGAGGACCCTGAGGCATCCCTGCCCCTCGAAGGCGTTCAGCAAAGCTGCACTGAAGGCTGGAGCAAGATGGGTGCCAGCACACCCAGCCCAGCTTGAGCACCCCAAGGTGCTTGGGGACACCACGGGCAGCAGGGCAGGGCTGGGAGGCAGTGGTGGGGCAGGAATGCACAGGGAGGTTTGCTCCCACTGTGCAGTCAGTGCCGCGATGCCAGCACATGGGTCTAACTCTTCTCCTTCTCCCTTGCCGTGGATTTCTAGGAGTACATGAGGCTGTCTGACGTTTTCAGGTTCTGCAGCAATGCACATGGCCCCAGCCTGGACACTAAAGCTTCTGCTGCTGCCCCTGCTGCCGCTCAGCGCTCTTTCTTGCTTGCTGTAGCTCCCACAGCCAACGAGGTACCTGCCCAGAGCATGCTCGGGTCTGCTCCCTCGGGTCGCCCGCTGCATCCCAGGAGGGAGCCAGCTGCCCCTGCGTGCCCTGGGGCTGGGAGCCCACATCTCTGGGGTCAGGACGCTTGTGTGGCTGCAGCTGAGTGGGGAGCAGAGGCTCCAGCTGCCCAGTCTCCTCGCTGGGGTGCCCTTCTTGCCTGCTCTGGGTGCAGTGGCAGGGGGGAGCAGAGGGAGGGGCAGCCCTTTGTTTGTTGGATCCTGGCCTCGAGCGAGGAGGATCAGAGCGGGCCTGACCCAGTGCCCAGCAGCAGGGTGGCTGCAGCACCAACTGCTCTTCCTCCCAGGACAGTGAACCTTCCCGTGGGGGTTGGAGCTGCCTGCTCATTCCTCCGTGCCTGCTTGCCCTCGCTCTTACCCTGGTTCAATCTGCTTCTCTCTGCGCAGTATGTGACCGTGGAGCAGCTCTCGGGTATCCTGGGCAGCCTCCACACCCCTGCTGCTTCCCTGCTGGGCTGTACCCCTCCGGCTCCTTCATCCTCAGGCTGTGCTCCTCCTCTTCCTCCTCTTCCATCTCTCCCTTCTCCCTTCATCTCTGCAGAGGTTGGTGCCCTGTTTCCCTCCATTTGGCCCCTTGTACTCTCCCTGGGAGGTGATGGAGATGCACAGGAAGGGGTGAGCTGCAGATGGAGCTGAGCAGCAGCTCGGGCTCTTGACACCCTGCACACCCTTGGCTGTCCTGCCTGCTGCTCCACTGCCCTCAGGGCAGGGGGTCTTTGTGCTTGATCAGTTCTCACATTCTCTTGAGCAGCAAATGGCTCCTACAGCTGCTGGGACTTAGCCAGGGAGTGCACAGGATCCCCAGGGGTCTGCATGTTAAGTTTTGGGGGAATGGTGCAGGCATAGGCAGGAATGCTTCGACCTCTTCTCTTGTGCATCTGTCCCCCCTGCTGCATTTGTCCTTCATCCTTTCTCACGCAGCCTCTCTCTCCAGATGGAGCAGCAGCTGTTGGGAGGACCTGTGTGTCCCCCAGCTCTTGATTTAGAGAAGTGGTACCAGGAGGTTATGGCTGGCTTTGAGACCTCCTCTTCCTCTGTCTCTCCTCCTTCTTCCCCTCCTCCACTTCCAGCTAAAGCTCACTCCTCTCACCAGGCTCTGCAGGTAATCCTGGCTCTGTGCTGCCCAGGCTCAGGCTTTGGGGCCGCTGGTTGTGGCAGAAGTGGGGCAGTGTGGGGATGTTCCTGTGGACCCTGTACTCTGAGTGCTGCTGGGGCTCTGGCTGCCACAGCAGGCAAAGTCAGAGCAGACCTGTGGCCTGGGGTGGGCAGTCTCTGCCTCCTCTTCGGCTGCATCCCTTTGCCAGGATGGCACCGACGCAGAGCAGGATCTGGGGAGCCATCTGTCCGGGGGGACTTCTGCAGTTTCCCCATGTCTCTCTCATGTCTGTGTCTGTGCTCAGGTCTATCGTGCCAAAGCAGAGGGTGGTGCTGGTGCCCTCACCCCTCGGATGAAGAGTGGGACCCCTTCGTCCTCGCAGCTCAACCTCTCCGTGCTGGAGCGCAGTCCCTCCCCCAAGGTATGGCTGCCAGGGGGACCCAGGCTCCCTGGCCCTGGCTCTCACCTGCCTGGTGCCATCCCCATCCCCATCCTTGCAGCTGACCACCTGCTGTCCTGCCCAGGGCCCCCCCAGCCCGGCGGGCAGCCTGTCCCGCAACCTGGTGGCCACGCTGCAGGACATCGAGACCAAGCGCCAGCTGGCCCTGCAGCAGAAGGGTGAGCTCTGGCTCCTGTCCTGGCTCTGTGGGGTGGTGGGACTTTGGGAGATGCTATCCCCGCTGCCACTTGGGCAATGGAGACTGGAGCCTGGCCGAGGGTGGTGACAGCAGCAGTGCTCTGGCAGGATGCAGTGCCTCTCTCACAGTCTTGCTTTTCCCCCCTCTCTTTCCTCCTGACCCCTCCACCTGATGGCCCATCTGCAGCCAAGCTGCTCCCAGCAGAGCCCTTGCAGCCAGGCAATCTACCAGGTAGAGACGGGGGTTGACTTGGACTGCCTAGAGCAGCCTAGAGGCAGCAGCATGGCTGTTGGCTGGCACCTTCTGCCATACATAAGAGGGGCATGACCAGTCCAGGACCCCAGGTGCATCTCAACATCTGCTTAGAGACAACCCTGTGCATCCCCAGCCTGCTAATGCTTTGCCCTGCTCGTTCCTTACCAGCCTGGCGCATGTGCCCCCTGCTCCTGCCCAGACAGGTTGCAGTGCTTGCCAGAGAGCTGTGACAGCAGCTCCCACCTCTGCCCCTACCATGCCTTGGTGGTTCCAGCAGTGCCTGTAGTGTCTTCTGCCTGTGCCACCCCCTCGCCCACCATGATGTGGCTCTGAATGTGGCGCATTTGACTTGATGCTGTCATCTTGCCGTGGCCCAGGTCGGCAGGTGATTGAGGAGCAGAAGCGGCGGCTCGCAGAGCTGAAGCAGAAGGCAGCTGCTGAGGCGCAGTCCCAGTGGGAAGCCCTGCACGGGCAGCCCCCCTTCCCCGCTGCCTTCCCCCGGCTTGTGCACCACTCCATCCTCCACCACAGCCGTCCCCATGGCGCCGGGCCCCGCGCTGAGGAGCTGGACCATGCATATGACACACTCAGCTTGGAGAGCTCAGACAGCATGGACACCAGCATCTCCATCGGCAACAACTCTGCCTGCTCACCTGACAACATCTCCAGGTAATCCTGGGGCCAGCTCTGTGGCCAGGGGACAGCCTGCTGTGCTGGGATGCTGCTGGCTCAGGGTGCTTCCTGCTGGGGCAGCAGCTGTGGCTGTTGTGCAGTGCCAGCGGGATGGAGACAGGGAAGATTGAGGAGATGGAGAAGATGCTGAAGGAGGCACACGAGGAGAAGTCGCGGTTGATGGAGTCCCGGGTGAGTGGGGGCACCAGCGCCGTGGCTGGGTGGCAAGCAGGCCTGCAGTCCTCGGGGCTGAGTGCCATGCCTGCTGGCAGGAGCGGGAGATGGAGCTGCGTCAGCAGGCGCTGGAGGACGAGCGCTGGCGGCGGGAGCAGCTGGAACGGCGCCTGCAGGACGAGACCGCGCGGCGGCAGAAGCTGGTGGAGAAGGAGGTCAAACTGCGGGAGAAGCACTTCTCACAGGTGTGCTGCCGTGCCCCACTCAGCCTGGACACTGAGGCACGCCCGGCTGGCAGCGGAGGGACGGGGCTCTTGTCACCACGCGTGGCCTGTGCAGGGCTGTGTTGCTTTTGCAGGCTCGTCCCCTGACACGGTACCTCCCCATCCGCAAGGAGGATTTCAACCTGCGGCTGCACATCGAGTCCTCAGGCCACAGCGTCGACACCTGCTACCACATCATCCTGACAGAGAAGATGTGCAAGGGCTACCTGGTGAAGATGGGCGGGAAGATCAAATCCTGGAAGAAGCGCTGGTTTGTCTTCGACCGCATGAAGCGCACCCTCTCCTACTTCGTGGGTGAGTCCCCATGCCGCCCCCGTCCCCTCCCTGTGCCATCACCCACGGCCAACAGCAGTTCCCTCTCTCGGGCAGATAAACATGAGACAAAGCTGAAGGGTGTTATCTACTTCCAAGCCATTGAAGAGGTTTACTATGACCACCTCCGCAGTGCTGCAAAGGTGAGAGCTGGGCCCTGCCGCTGCTGGGGGCGTGCTGGCAGCCCTCTGCCTGGCCCGTTCTCTGTCCTCTGTCACGCTCTCTGAGGCAGCAGGGCAGCGCGTGCCAGGGATGCTCCTGGAATGGTCTGTGGCCCCCGATGGTGCCAGCTTGAGGGCACCAAGAGCAGGACCCCAGTGCTGGGCTTTGTGAGGGACCAGGAGGGGATTAGTGCTGCTCAGAGGGGAGCAGAGTGCTGATTTCATCCTCCCCTCCAGAGCCCCAACCCTGCGCTCACTTTCTGTGTCAAGACCCACGACCGACTCTACTTCATGGTGGCACCATCAGCCGAGGCCATGCGCATCTGGATGGACGTCATTGTCACCGGGGCAGAGGGCTATACCCAGTTCATGAACTGAGGGCGGTGCTGTGCATCCCAGATCCACCAGCTGCATGGACTTCGGAGCATCCCAAGCAGCCAGGAGCTCCTGAGGGGACCAGGGTCCCTGCAATGCCTCGTGCAAAGGGCTGTGCACACCGAGGTCGTGCACCTGCGTTGGGCGCAGCTGGGTGGCCCTGAGTGTTGCCTGTCCAGGCAAGGGAATAAGTTTTTTTATGTTGACTTTCTAGAAACAAACTTTATTGGAACAATATCAAAGTGCTGAAATGTAAAAAGCTGCCAAAGAGCTGCTGGGGCCCGAGCCGTGTGCCTTGGGGCGGTGCTGGCTTTGGGGCTGATGCTGGTGCTCGCTGCCGTGGTGTTCCAGGGAAGGAGAGGCCATGGGCTGCCCCGGCCTGGCCCCGTGCGGCGGGGACAGCCCACTGACCCCTTTTGTGAACCTTTTGTAATTTCGGAGCGCTGTCCCCCGGTGCTGGGGCCGGACGGGGGTGGCGGCGCGGACGGCCCGGTCATAAAGCGTTTCATGAACGAGGCTGTCCCTCCTGCGTGGGCTCCGAACCCGCAGCACGGCGCCGGCACACCGGAGCCTGCCTGGGGGGCACTGGGAGCGAGCTAAGGGCACGGCACCGAGCGTGGGGACCGCGGGCAGGGCAGGGGACACCCGCGGGCAGCGACCGGAACGGCGGCACGGGAGGGGCCGGGGAGGGGCGGAGCCCGGAAGAGGGCGGGGTCTGGGGATGCACCGCGCCCAGCCCGTGCCGAACCGGAGCCGTGCCCAGCCCGAGTCGAACCCGAGCCGAACCGGAGCCGTGCCCAGCCCGAACCGTGCCCAGCCCCTGCCGAGCCGAGCGAGGGCGGGACCGGGGCGCACGTGGGGGCGTGGTCTACACTGGGGGCGTGGTTTGGCGGCGGCCTGGCCGCGAGGCGCCTCTCGGCCGCCAGGGGGCGCACACGGTGCAGGCGGGTCGCGCAAGCCTCGGTTGCCCTGAGGCGCACGCGCGATGCCGGCACGCGCGCCGCTCGGGCGGCCCCCCGCCGCGGCGTCGTTCCCCCCCCCCCCCCCCCCCTCCGCGCGCCGGGCCGAGCCGAGTCCTGCCGAGCCCAGCCGAGACGGGGCGAGTCCCGCCGGGCCGAGCCGAGTCCCGCCGAGCCCAGCGGAGCGGTGCCCACAGAGCATGGCGCGGTTGCCCGGCTGGGCGCTGCCCTGGCTGCTTCTCTTCTCCTTCGTGCCCGCCGCAGGTACGTGCGGGACGGTGCGGGGAGGCGGCGGCTCCCTGCCTGGGCCGCGACGCCGGCGGGAGGCGGCGTCGTCCCCCCCCCCCTCCGTGCTCCCGGCCAATGGGGCCGCGGCTTCCGTTCGTGACTGCTTCCGGCTTCCCCCGACGTGGCCCAATGGGCTCGCGCGCGCTGAGGGATTGGCGCGCGGGCCCAGCCCCGGCAGCCGCGCCAATGGGCGCGTGCCGCGTGCCGGTGGGGGCGGGGCCAGACG